GAGCGTGTGGTAGAGATGACCGAACCGAAATTCAACCGAATGTACCCGCCAAATTTCATCCAATTTCTGGTTAAGCTGTTGGTCCATCCACCCACCCACCCATCAATTCACTCATTCATTCATTCATTCATTCATTCATTCATTCATTCATTCATTCATTCATTCATTCATTCATTCATTCATTCATTCATTCATTCATTCATTCATTCATTCATTCATTCATTCATTCATTCATTCATTCATTCATTCATTCATTCATTCATTCATTCATTCATTCATTCATTCATTCATTCATTCATTCATTCATTCATTCATTCATTCATTCATTCATTCATTCATTCATTCATTCATTCATTCATTCATTCATTCATTCATTCATTCATTCATTCATTCATTCATTCATTCATTCATTCATTCATTCATTCATTCATTCATTCATTCATTCATTCATTCATTCATTCATTCATTCATTCATTCATTCATTCATTCATTCATTCATTCATTCATTCATTCATTCATTCATTCATTCATTCATTCATTCATTCATTCATTCATTCATTCATTCATTCATTCATTCATTCATTCATTCATTCATTCATTCATTCATTCATTCATTCATTCATTCATTCATTCATTCATTCATTCATTCATTCATTCATTCATTCATTCATTCATTCATTCATTCATTCATTCATTCATTCATTCATTCATTCATTCATTCATTCATTCATTCATTCATTCATTCATTCATTCATTCATTCATTCATTCATTCATTCATTCATTCATTCATTCATTCATTCATTCATTCATTCATTCATTCATTCATTCATTCATTCATTCATTCATTCATTCATTCATTCATTCATTCATTCATTCATTCATTCATTCATTCATTCATTCATTCATTCATTCATTCATTCATTCATTCATTCATTCATTCATTCATTCATTCATTCATTCATTCATTCATTCATTCACTCATTCATTCATTCAGTCATTCATTTTCATTCATTCATTTTTTCATTGATTCAGTTATTCATTTCTCCTCCAGAGAATGACGCTCGTGTAAAGTTGAAAAAACACCGCTAACCCCAGTTAAGATGATAAATCAATAGAGCGCATGTAATTGCGTAAAACAGAAATATTTGTTTGAAAAGAACACGTGTAAGACCTACCTCATGCGGAAAATCGTACCCTCCTAGAACTGAACTCTCGTGGCCAGAATGAGGACACGAGGTAATAAAGCATCTCCTGTGGAAATGACCCCTTATAAGGCGAAAAAATCATCCGCCGCTAGCCTTGTGAATTCGGTTGAGCATCCACCGACCAACCATCGAAGTGCTCCACGGTGTTCATTCACAGTTGAAGGCAGGATGGAGTATAACAATAAGCAAGTTCAGTTCTGTTGCTGAAGGAGCAATCCAAACAAGAAACGAGCATTTGACGAAAGCCAGTCTGTAGAGCACCCTTTCGGCGAGTGGGAGGTTAGTTGAATCCATCCCCTAGTGTGTCTTCTCATGTTCGTGCACTTAAACGTTTGATCTGAAACTCTACGAAGATCCCCACAGTTTACTTCTTCGGGCTCGTGGCCTTCGCAAGCTACCTAACTTGTTGTGTATGTATCACTACCTATGGTTGCTGAGTTACCATGTAAGTAGTCTGATGACTTTTAAAATAACGAGCGTTTTCCTCGTAAATGATATCAGCCTATGGTGCAAGACTCAGAAGTACACAGCACCGGACGTCGAGAACTGAAGCCCATTTGTCTTGACCACAACCTGAGCTCTCTTCTAGCACACAGTACAGAAATTTCGGAAACACTCCAAAGGCATTTGGTTTCGTGTTCTGTTTCTGGAGGTACAAGATGTTTTCGGAGGGTGTGAACTGCCGATTCATTAAAGTCCAGCCATCAGCGATTACAGAGATCTTGTTAAGAAGTGACAAAAACTACTTTGTTTAAAATGGGTAAAAACCAGGCTGGCATTTAGTTATGTCTGAGCTACTTTCAGAGTTTGCTGGGGATCTGTCTGACCCTGAAAAAGCCGAATTGTTATCAACTACTTTTCGACAAACAAGTAGTACGTAAATATTAAAGTCCCATGGGCCTGGAGTTTTTTCAAGTGATCGCTACCAAACACAAGTGGTAGATTCTGGAAAGATGAACTGGACGTGTGAGGATTCGATCGTCTGGAGTGGAGAATCAGATTTTTTCCTCACCACCCAAGCAATGGAAGGTCACCGACCTCACTTGTTCGTACGGTGCATATGAATTTAGGATGGTTTTGCTTGTTTCTGGCAGGTACGCTGAACGGATTAGATATGGAACACTTATGATTTTCACTTGTGACCATATTCCTGATGAATTTCAACACACGCACCACACGAAGCGACATATCACCTAATTACCAAGCAAGGGAGGTGAAGGTTCTAACGAGGGCTAAACCCAAAAAACAGGGATTATGCTTCCATTCAAGCGTAAGGATCCAGACAATCTAAGGGGAACTTTGTTGCTCATCGTCTTGATAAAAAGACTAAGAGCATATGTCCTTCAAGACAAGTGACACTTCCACCAAGTGAACTGTGACCAATCTTGCTTGCTCACTGAACAAGTGTACATATGACGTACACATTTAGCATGGTTTTAGGACTTTCCTCAGGCGGATGTCCTAGCTCTAACCGACTTCCAGTCATTGTTCCAAGTTATGTGTTTCAGACTATGCTTATTTGAGTTACTCGGAAATTTATGACTACTCACAGTCACAACAAACAAAAGATGTCGCTAGCCATTTATGTGCTTTATGTGGGCATTTCATTTCCATCTCCGTAGCCCAGCAATGCTGAAGGATGTGGGCTGTGACTGGGTGATACTCGGCCACTCGGAAAGGCGGCACATCTTTCGGGAATCCAATGAAGTGAGTTTACTTCCGATTGTGTTTTTTGGTTGTTCAGAAATGAAAATAAAGAATAGAGAGGTTCGTAGGCTTGCAGGTTCTGAATCGTGATCTCTCGTGGTCGAACAGTCAACTAGCTGTGAAATCACGAATTCGAGGCTCCCTGAAGTCTCCTGAGATGCACGCTACCGAGAGTTCCCATCAAACAGCACGCAACTAGCAGTACTTCTCGGTTTTGTAGACTTGAGCATCCAGGTAGTAACTTATCACTCACGCACATATAAGTCACCTGACAGCAGATCATATCCAAACTCATCTAGTCACTTGTTGATGTGTATCTTGGTGCTCCAGTTACTGATTACAACGGGATGGATGAGCCGGTCAACATTTTTGCAATAGTATCCCTCATTTCCTCTTCCACTGTATGACGTCCTGCATGACACTCACACACTACTAACTACCAGTCAATGATCGTAATAGACACGCGAAAAAGGCGATGATGCTCTTAGTAGTTTGATTAGACTAAGAATGTTTCAACGCCTTTACCTCTCACTAATTAGTTATCAGTTGCCTGAGAACATCATAAACGAGAGATTCAGCTGGGTTCCAGGTGAGTCTCTCGAAAGAACCAAATTAGTTTGCAGATGAGTGTATATTCGCTAATTTCGTGCAATTTGGTTTCAAGTAGAACATAAGGTTGACGGACACCCGGGGACTGCGCCTACCTGATGAGCCCCAAGAAGGGCGAAACCGGTCGTAAGCTGTCGATGGATTTTCAGCAACCTTATGAGTAGTACATTACAAATATAGTTAACAAACACTTTGCATCTCTGGCGCATAGCCATTCTGAGGTTCCTTTCCAGTTCAGAATCTTCGAAAATCAATAAAATATGGCCACATCATTTTAGCCGTGCCTAGTCACGATCGAATTTATGCGGGAGATTTTACATTCATTTTTTAGAAGTGACTTAAATCTTTACTAGGAGAAAGTTCGCTTTTGGAGTGCGTTAGAAGCGTATGTTTCAATTGCACTGTGGGATGCAAATTGAAGTGGCTCCGAAACTCGCGATTCACTATTCGCCATTCGTGTGCCACCCAACTAGGTCATGCACAGCGTATAACCACGTGACTTAGAACGTTACTATACACAGCCCTTAAACCAAGCAAACTGAAAATTCCATATGTGAATAGTTCCGTAACTACTCCGAGACACTGTGACATCAAACATTCTAACTGTTCATTTTTTTCTCCGAGTCCACTTTTCGATTAAATTCATCAGGCACTATGCTGTCTGGTTTTGTTAGACTTATCGTATATGGAATTGTGAAACCATGAAAAATGGGGGAATGAGAAGATGACAGAAGAAAACTTGTGGAATGAGCAAATGGCGGAAATTGTGTGCTTTCCATCTGCGAATACGTGTCATTCCTAGGCTTGTTGTAGCACAGAGCTGGTGTCCAAGGTTTCATGATTTCCTGAGCAATAGGCTGATATGAATGGGTCTGAATGGGAGATACATGGGCGGAATTAGTTCAGATTTGGCCAAAAGTTCTTTGCCAGTATCCTCCCAAAGACGGAGCCTAGACAATATGAAAAAGCGACCAACCGCAACCCGTGAATAGGCCGAAATCGATGGTCCCCAACGTTGGTTCATGACTGGAATGACTAGTACCTTGGAATTCTTGAGATAGAAGGAAATTAGGTTATCGGTTTTTGGTCAGGTCGCTGGCCTTGATGGTTGTCCTTCGAACATTTCTCCACCGCCCGAGGAGACATCCTGTTTGCGTGGATTGGTTGCGATTAGACTACTGATACTTTTCAAGTAGCTAAGAAACGCCGAAGAATTGGTTCGTCACTTAAGCCAATGCAGAGTGGGGGTGACACAACTGATGGTTGTCCGCCATAGATAAACAACAAGAGTAGCAATCGGGTATTAGATATTTCATATTCAAGACCAATTTAGAATAACAGAACACAATCGATTTAACAATTCATGTATGTCTAATGTACTTCAATTCAATGCTTTCACATACTCCGAAAATACCCATTTATTATAAGAACACAGGTGGGTTGACGAACATGTTTTCGGCAAGGTCTTTTCAAGTCGTACAGTTGCAAAGGTTAAGAGAGCGGTATTTAACATATCTGAATGAGTATGGTGTAAATGGACAGGAAATCGAGTGAGACGACATTGGCCACCCATCAATGAACAATTAGTTCAAGTCACTAATAGGATGACTTGAGCTAGTCAGGGCGGGGGGTGCTGTAGTTGTGTTTTCAGCACAAGGTGCATGTGTGAGGGGAGGTGAGTTAGACCATG